ATCCTTTTTGTTTGCATTCTCTACTCCCACTCTGCCCTGCTCATCTAAATGTACCATTCTAGTATGTTTATTATTTCTCATTTTTCTTATGTGATGAAAAATGTGTACTGTGTGACATGTGTTCTTGCTTTACATAAAACTATTTTTAGATATGTCATTATATATGTCATGTAATGTGATACATAGATAGCTATGGATACCGCATACTGTGTCTATATATATATATTTTTTTTTTTTGAGACAGGGTATCGCTCTGTCACCCAACCTGCAGTGCATTGACATTGTCTTAGCTCACTGCAGCCTGGAACTCCTGGGCTGAAGTGATAACCCTGCCTCAGTCTCCCAAATAGCTCGCATTACAGGCACATGCCCCCCACACCTGGCTAAGTTGTAGTAACTGGATCACGCTATGTTGGTGAGGTTCCTGGCCTCATGTGATCTTCCTGCTTTGGCCGCAAGGTACTGGGGAAGTACAGGCGTGATCCACCACTCCCAGCTTGTTCACAGCCTTATTAATTATAATTGACAAATGTTAAACTGAATATATTTAACATACATGATCTAACAAGTTTTGGTATCATACCTGTGAGGCAATCATCATAGTCAAGATAATTGACTATGTATCCCCGGGCTCCTTTGAAATTCCAGAACTTTAATAAAGGTAATCTCACTCTCTGTACCCTTTTTTTTTGTTGTTGTTGGTTTGGCTTCTTTCAGACAGCATAATTTCAGATGCATTTATGTTGTCATAAGCATCAACAATTCATTTCTTTTTAATGTGCTGTAGTATTCCATTGTGTGGACATACCACAATTTCATAATTCATCTGCCTGTTGATGGACACTTGGATTGTCTTCAGGCTTTTGGCTATTACAAATAAACTTGCTAGGAATATTCACAAACAGGTAATCCTATGAAAATATATTTTCTTTTCTCCTGTGTATGTCTGGGAGTGGAATGGCTGGTGTATGGGAGGTGTATATTTAACTGGGTAAGAGACTACCAAACCCTGTTCGGAAATGTTTTCATCGTTCAGAAGCTCTACATCATTGCTAGCACTGGGTATAATTGTTATTTTAATTTCAGTCATGCACGTGTATCTACAACAGTATTTAAATTTTGTTTTAGTTTGCGTTTCCAGAATGATAGATGATGGTATCTGTTTGTGTGGTGGTTATTAGCCAACTGTAGATCTTCTTTGGTGAGGAAGTCTGTTGTTGCCTTCTGTCCATTTGTGGGGTTGAGTATTTGCCTTCTTATAATTGAGTTGTAAGACTTCTTTATTGTCTACAAGTGTCCTGTGTTGCATATATATGATTTCTAAATATTTTGTCGCAGACTGTGAATTTCTCTTTCAATTTCAAAAGAATGCTTTTAAAGACCAAAAAAATGTAATTTTGGTGAAATCAGATTTATTAACTTTTTTTTCCTTTTCAGTTTGTGGTTTGGGTGTTTCATTTCAAAAATCTTTGCCAAAGCCAAGAAGATTAAGAAAGTTGTGATTTCCCTAAAAAGGGCATTGCATAAGGATAAAGGGTTCAATTCAACAAGAAGACTTAGCTATCCTAAATATACAGGCACCCAACAATAGAAGCACTGGTGCCCAACAACGGGAGCACTCAGATTCATAAAACAAATTCTTAGAGACCTACAGAGGGACTTAGATAACCACGCAATAATAGTGGGAGACTTCAACACCCCTCTGACAGTATTAGATCATTGGGCAGAAAACTATCAAAGTGATCCCGGACCTGAACTCAATACTTGACCAAACTGACCGAACATACTATTCTACAGAACTCTACACCCCAAAACAACAGCATCTACATTCTTCTTGCCTGCACATGAAACATACTGTAAAACTGACCAACACAATTAATTGGCCGTAAATCAATTTTCAGCAAAATTTCAAAACCTGAAAAATTACCAACCACCCTCGCAGACCACAATACAATAAAAACAGAAATTAATACTAAGAAATCATTGAAAACCAAATAATAACAAGAAAATTAAATCACCCGCTCCTGAATGACTTTTGGGTAAACAATGAAATTAAGGAAGAAATCAAGAAAGTTTTTGAAATTAACGAAAACAAAGCCACCACATACTGGAGTCTCTGGGAGACAGCAAACACTATGTTAAGAGAAAAGATTTTACTACAAAATGCCCACGTCAAAAAGTTAGAAAGATCTCAAATTAACAATCTAACATCATACTAGAGGAACTAGAAAAAGCAAAAACAAGCCAACCCCAAAGCTAGCAGAAAACAAGAAATAACCAAAATCAGAACTTGACTGAATGAAATTAGGATGCAAAAAGTCATAGAAAAGATCAGTGAAACCAGGTGTTGTTATTTGAAAGAAAAAATGAGACTGATAGACCTCTAGCTAGACTAATAAAGAAACAAAGAGAGACGATCCAAATAAACACACTCAGAAATGACACAGTGGACACCGCCACCAACCCCAGAGAAACACCGAAAAACCCCAGAGACTACTGTAAACAACTCTGTAGACACAAACTAGAAAACCTGCAAGAAATCAATAAATTCCTGGATACATACATGCTCCCAAGGCTGAGCCAGGAAGAAACTGGTTCCCTGAACACACCAATAATGAGCTCTGAAATTGAATCAGGAAAAAAAAAAAAAAAGAAAGAAAGAAAACCAGGACCTAAGGAATTCACAGCTGAATTCTACCAGATGTACAAAGAAGAGCTGGTGCCATTCCTACCGAAACTATTCCCAAAAATTGAGGAGAAGGGAGTTCTCCCCAGCTCATTCTATGAGGCCAGTATCATCTTGATACCAAATCCTGGCAGAGACACAACGACAACAACAAAAAATTAAAAACTTCAGGCCAATATCCTTGATGAACGTCGATGGAAAAATCCCCAACAAAATACTGGCAAACCAAACCTAGCCGCACATGAAAAAGCTAATCCACCACGATCAAGTAGGCTCCATCCCCAGATGCAAGTTTTGTTCAACATGTGTAAATCAATAAATGTGATTCATCATATAAACAGATCTAAAACCAAAAAACACATGACTATCTCAATAGATGCAGAAAAGGCTTTTTATAAAAGTCAACGTCTCTTCATGTTAAAAACCCCCAATAAACTAGGTATTGAAGGAACATACCTTAAAATAATAAAAATCCATCTGTGACAAACCCACGGGCAGCAGCATACTGAATGGGCAAAAACTGGAAGCATTCCCCTTGTAAACTGGCACAAGACAAGGTTGCCCTCTCTCACCACTCCTACTCCACGTAGTACTGGAAGTTCTGGTCAGGGCGACCGGGCAGGAGAAATAAATGAAGTGCATCCAAATAGGAAGGGGGGAAGCCAAACTACCTCTGTTTGCAGGCGACATGATTCTATATCTAGAGAACCCCATAGTCTCGGCCCAGCTGATAAACAACTTGATAAACTCCTTCAGCTGATAAACAACTTGGGTGAAGTCGTAGGATACAAAGTCAATGTACAAAAATCACTAGCATCCCTAGAAACCACCAACAACCACACTGAGATCAACATCACAAAGGCAATCCCATTCCCAATTGCCACACACAAAAATAAATTACCTAGGCATACAGCTAGCCAGGGAGGTGAAAGATCTCTACAATGAGAATTACAAAACACTGCTTAAAGAAATCAGGACAGACACAAACATATGGAAAAACATCCCATGCTCATGGACAGGAAGAATCAATAGCATTAAAATGGCTGTACAGCCCACGGCAATTTATAGACTCAATACTATTCCCATCAAACCACCGAGAACATTCTTCACAGAACTAGAAACAAATATTGAAAAATGTGTATGGAACGCGAAAAGGAGCCTGGATAGCCAAGGGAATCCTAAGCAAAAGGAGCTACACTACAAGGCTACAGTGACTAAAACAGCATGGTACTGGTACTGGTACAAAACCAGGCGCATAGACCAACAGCACAGTAAACGGACAACCTGCAGAGTGGGAGAAAGACTTGGCAAACTATTCATCTGACAGAGGTCTAATACCCAGCCTCTGTAAAAAGCCTAAACAAATTTACAGGAGAAAAACAAACAATGCCATTAAAAAGGGGGCAAATGACATGAACAGAGACTTCTCGAAAGAAGACATACATGTAGCCAAGAAGTATATGAAAAAAAGGGCAGTATCACTGATCATTAGAGAAATGCAAATCAAAACCACAATGAGATACCATCTGACAACAGTCAGAGTGGCTATTATCAAAAACTCAAAAAATAATAACAATAACAGATGCTGTTGAGGTTACTGAAAAAAGGAAACCCTTATACACTGTTGGTGGGAGTGTAAATTAGTTCAGCCATTGTGGAAAGCAGTATGGCAATTCCTCAAAGAGCTAAAAGCAGAACTACCATTTGACCCAGCAATCCCATTACTGGGCATATAGCCAGAAGAATATAAAGCATTCTACCATAAAGACACATGCACCTGACTATTCACAGTAGCACTGTTCACAAAAGCAAAAACATGGAATCCACCTAAATGCCTATCAATGACAGACTGGATAAGGCAAGTGTGGCACATATACACCGTGGAATATTATGCAGCCATGAAAAAGAACAAGGCTATGTCTTTTGTGGGAACGTGCATGGAGCTAGAGGCTACCAGCTCAGCAAACTGACGCAGGAAAAGAAAAGCAAATCCCACACGTTCTCACTCATAATTGGGAGCTAAATGGTAAGAATTGTGAACACAAAGAGGGAAACAACAGGCCCTGGGTTGTACTTAAGTGGGGGGGGGGGGTGTGGTGGGACGAGGGAGAGGAGCAGAAAAGAGATAACTATTGGGTACTGAGCTCAATACCTGGGTGATGTAATAATATGTGCAACAAACCCCGGTGACACGCGTTTAGTTATGTAACAAACCCTAATGTGTACTCCCAAACATAAAATAAAAAGTTTTAAAAAATGTTACAGTGCAAGTCTCTTGATGATAAATTCTTTCGACTTCTGTATGTCTAAACACCTACTACAGCTAGTGCTCGACTTACGACCACGATTGGGACCGGCAGACCGGTCGTAACACGATTTGGTCGTAAGTTGAGTAGGCTACATGTACAGTTGAAATGGTGCACGCGGAGATGGTAGTGCTGCCAGAAGCTGGTCCGCACTGTCGTACGCCCAGCTGGGCAACGTTTGCGCTGCCAGACGCGGAGCAGTCGTGGCTAGCGATTGTGGTCATAATAATCACTTAGGAGAAAGGATAAATCTCTGGGAGAGCAGATGGGTCAAATGTCATGGATGCGCACGACGCCTTCTCTGTGCGTAGCACCTTGGGTATACCTTAGATGATGCGTGGCAACGCGGATGCATCGTGAAAGCACAGGGCTCAGTGAAAAGAAAATTAAGAAATCTGCTGGATACTTGTATTTCCAGCCATGACGGATTAACGAGAACCAGATTTCCCATCTCATCTAAATGTGTATAGACCAACAGATTATAAGGCTTAACATCAGTGATCCCTGAGAGAAAGGGAACCTGACCACAGTGACCCCTGAGAGAAAGGGAACCTGACCACAGTGATCCCTGGGAGAAAGGGAACCTGACCAGGTGAGCCCTCTGGTCGCCCAATCCCACCAACTTCCTGTCCGGATAGAGTTTGCAGGCTGCAGCACAGGGGAGCTGAACACAGCAGAGCCGGGTGGACAGTCTGAGTGAAGGAGACAGAGTTGAGAGCTCGAGAGGTCCATCCCACCAGAATTTGCACGGAGAGGCAGCTCTGGAGACCCTTCAGAGGTTGCCCGTCTGGATGCAGTGTATGAGAAAGGGGGAGCGGCGATCGATGACTCCCAGTTTCTGGAGTGAGTGGTTGTGTGGATAATGGTGCCATTTACTGAGATTGGGAAGATGGGTGGGGCGGGGGGAACCGGAACGATGGGGCTGAGTGTGTGGGAGGCGTGAGTATACCAAGTGACCAGTTTGGGACAGGCTAACCATGAAGAGCCCTTGAGACATCCAAGTGGACATGCCGCGTAAGTGGGTGAATGTATGAACTCGGACCTCAAAAGTGAAGTTCAGACTGGGGCTGTAGATTTTTGGAGTGACTAGCACGTAACACTTTCTGAAGGCTTTCGTCTGCAGGGTGCGTTCCTCTCCCACAGAGGACATGTTACAGGGGAAGGGGTAAAGAGACACAGGCCGCTGACAGGAGAGACTGATATACAACAGCTGGAGGAAGCCACAGAGCCGGGCAGAATGGATACCGGTCAGCGGAGAGTACGAGCTGCCTGCCGTCCTAGCAGTAGCTTCCATTTGCACACAGGGGTCCCGGTGAGGCAGATGTAAAAACAAGTATAAAACTCTACTACGAATTTTACCAACAATCCAGGTTCGACTGGAGATGAGACCACAGCATTTTCTGCCTCAAAAGACATCCAACTGGAGATGGCACTTAGGCGGGCGAAAGTGCTATGCACTTGGACCTCAAAAGTGAAGTCTGAGCTGGGCTCGTCGATTGCGGATTCATTAGCTCAGGCACACAGGTGCCTGATTGTCCTAGCGGACACCAGGGGAGTCTCAGCGGCAGCGTGATTGATTGTGTCACTGAGATGGAAGAGGCCTGGCAATCTGAGCAGAGAGTGGACCAGGCGGAGCGATTCTCATACCTAGATGGAACCACATAGAGCCACAGAGGCCGGGTGGGCGGCCTCTGCCTGCCTGTGTCCTGAAGGCAGAGCATGAGCTTAGGCCTCCTACAGCACAGACCTTGCTTCTTTGGGACAGACGTTGGGGTGGGGAAGGTCTGTCACTCGCACGGAGGAGGCAGTGCCTCAGTCCCCAGGCCAGCAGGAGCAGGAGGTGGGCTTTGGAGTCTGGAAGACTCAGGCCCAAATTCTGCATTTTCTGTTTCCTGGCTCTGTGGTCTAGTTCCTGCAATGTGTCTGTGCCTCGGCTTCCTGATCTGTCAAGTGGGGATGCCGACATCCACCTCCCAGGGCTGCTCGTGAGAGGAAGACAAGCCCCAGCACAGATCCCTCTGTGACATACAAGCTGCATAAAGGGTAGCTGAGGAAGCAGATATTCCCAGTGCGTCTGCGGCCAGAGTTGGCTAGTGGGGAAGCACACAAAGGGAAGTGCCATCCTCTGGCCGAGTCCACTTCGTCGCCCCGCAGGTTGAGGATTGCCACTTGTTGCAGTTAGAGACCCAGCTCATTAATTGTGAGACCTCGCTAATTGTGACCTAAGGGGCCGTGCGGAGGAGATGGGGCATAGTGGATCCCAGACCAGGCTGGAGGAGTTCGGGTGAAAGGGCAGGGCAGGACGGAGAAGCCTTGTGCAAAAGTGGGGGGACTGAGAAGAGATGATTGGGTGGGTCGAGCTGCACTGCAGGGTATGAGTGTGCGCGCCCGCGGTAGGAGGAGGAGGAGGAGGAGGAGGAGGAGGAGGAGGATTGTGCCGCTGCACTGTAGCCTGTGGGATGCAGCCAGATTTTGTCCAGGAGGAGGAAGGGGGAAGAAGGAAGAGGAGGAGAAGGAGGAAGGAGGAGGAGGAGGAGGAGGAGGGATGAAGTGGATCTGGCGGGAAGAGCCCCCCCACTACGACTTCGACCCCGCCGCCCACCCACCCGCGGAACCGCATGCGCACTGGGGACCTGGAGGAAAGGGCTTTTGTTGGGAAAGCGGGCGGGCTGGAGGGGTCCGCGCATGCGCAGGCTACCCAGCCGCGGGGGGTGCACGGAGAAAAGGGGCGGGGTGGTCCGGGCTGCTGTGCTGGCAGCAGTAGGCGAGGGCGCGGCTGCGGGGTTCCTGGTGCTGAGGACCGACGCCATTGGAGCCCCGGGGAAGGTAAGGATCCAGCCCCAGGCAGGACCGGGAGAGGGCGAGTGGAGCCCGGCACGCTGCGCCCTCCCTCCGCCTCCGGATCTGAACAAAGCCCAAGCACTCAGAACCGGAACCCCATTAGAGCCAAGGTCTAGACAGGAGCCCCCATCACCTCCAGACCCAGGCGCCCCGATCTGAGCCCTACTGAAACCAGAGCCCAGGATCCTCACCCCCTTAGCAGACCCGTGTGCTCCGAGCTGAGCTCCCTTGGACCGGAGGCCCCACCCCCACCCCAACCACTCCTGGATTACTCGAACCGAGCTGACCGCTTGCCCCCTTCCTGGAGTGCCAGTCCTCCCGTTTGAGATCTCCAGCGCTCCGACTGGAGTCTCACCTAGGTCCGAGGCCCCACTCCTCCATCCGCCTCTAGTGCTCGAGCCTGAGCCCCACCTAGGCCCCCTGCCCGGACCTAGCCAAAAGGTCCCTGGGATTCTGTTTCGCAGAGCTTGCCGCTTGCCGCTGTCCCCGGCAATGCCTGAGCGCTCCCATCTGCTCCCCCTTCATCCCGGTCCCCTTCTCTGGCCCTTCCATCCAAACCCTTTGTTTCTCTCTCCCCCAGTGCATCCCCTTTGGGACTCTTGGGACCCCAGCCCTCCAGAACACCCCCCATTCAAATCTAGCCACTGGGATGGGGAGCCTGCGCATCCTAAACTCCGCTTTCGGTGCGGCGTCGCCCGCGACCTCCTCTGTCCCTTTCCTTGGGCTCTGTCCCTGACCAAGTCTACCCCATCAGAAAGCCAAATCCTCTTCCCTCTTCTCCCCCGATACCCCCCCCCCCCCCCCCCCCTCGCCCCCCCCCCCCCCCCCCACGCCTTTTACTGCCTAATATTGCCTAGTAACCTGATGATTGTCGCCCCTCACCTCCCGGGAGATGCCGCCTCCCATTGGATCCCGCCCCCTCCCCCTGCAGCTGCTTCACCCTCCCTCTCAGGCAGAGCTCTCTTCTCCCTGGGACCCGAAGCATGGCTGAGGGAAGCTTCGGCGTGCAATCGGAAAACTACAGTGTTGAGGACATGGACGAGGGTAGCGACGAAGTCGGGGAGGAAGAGATGGTTGAAGGCAACGACTATGAAGAATTCGGTGCCTTTGGCGGCTATGGCACCCTCACCAGCTTTGACATCCACATCCTCAGAGCCTTCGGAAGCTTGGGTCCAGGCCTTCGCATCTTGTCGGTGAGACTCCTTCCAGGCCACCTGCTCGCCTGGGCCTTTCCACTGTGAATGGAGGAGGGAGTAGGGGGGCAGCAAGGAGGGTTGTGTGCGAAAGGGCTGCCCAGCTTCCCCAAGGCTTCCCTCCCCTGCTGGGAAGAAGAGGATTTGGGAAGGCCTTGGGGTGTCCGGGGCTGGCTGCTGGGAAGAGGCTGGCCAGCACAGCGAAGCTAACACAAGTGTGCCGTCGAGTGGCCTGCCTTCCCCCACCCCTCTCTCTGGCCCTGCAGAATGAGCCCTGGGAATTGGAAAACCCTGTGCTGGCCCAGACCCTGGTGGAGGCATTGCAACTGGATCCGGAAACACTTGCCAATGAGACGGCCGCCCGTGCTGCCAACGTTGCCCGTGCCGCCGCCTCCAACCGTGCGGCTCGGGCCGCTGCCGCCGCTGCCCGTAGCGCCTTCAATCAGGTGATGGCTAGCCACCGGGTGGCCACGCCGCAGGTCTCAGGAGAGGATACCCAGCCCTCGACCTATTCCGCCGCCGCCGCCGCCGCCCCCGCCGCCGCCGAGTCTCAGGGGCCCACCCCGGAGCCCCCCCTTGCTTCTCCGCAGACCTCCCAGATGTTAGTCACCAGTGAGATGGCTGCCCCCGGGGCCCCGGCAACCTCTGCACAGTCCCAGACAGGCTCCCCGGCCCAGGAGGCTGCTACCGAGGGCCCTAGTAGCGCCTGTGCTTTCTCTCGGGCTCCGAGTGCCAGTGAGGTGGATGCCACCCGGCCCAGCACAGCCTTCCTGGGTCCGAACGATGTCTTTGATTTCACCCAGCCAGCAGGTGTCAGTGGCATGGCCTTCCCACGCCCCAAGAGACCTGCCCCAGCCCAAGAGGCTGCCACAGAGGGCCCCAGGGCTGCCTCTGGGGTGTCCCAGATGGGACCTGGCAGGGAGGTGGCAGCCACCCGGCCCAAGACCACCAAGTCTGGGAAGGCCCTGGCCAAGACTCGGTGGGTGGAGCCTCAGAACGTTGTGGCAGCAGCTGCTGCCAAGGCCAAGATGGCCACAAGCATCCCTGAGCCGGAGGGTGCAGCTGCTGCCACTGCTCAGCACAGTGCTGAGCCCTGGGCCAGGATGGGAGGCAAGAGGACCAAGAAGGTGAGATTCCCCCCCGCCCCACCTCCACACCCCCGGCTCCTGTCCTTTCCGTCTCCTCCCTCTCCCTCTTCTTCCTCTCCTGTCCTCTTTTCCCTCTCTCTCCCCTCCCCTGCCCTCTCCCTCCCCTCCCCTCCCCTCCCCTCTCCTCCCCTCCCCTCTCCTCTCAGCTAGTCCCTGTTTCTCCAACACAAGTTTGCTGAGCATGTTTTCACTCCACGTAGTCCCTACCCTCAGGACTGGTGGGAGAAGAGGCTGGCTGAGTGCCTGGCACTTAGTAAGCACGCAGCACATGCCAGCCGCTGCTGGTACTGCTCTCGTTTCCAAGAGCCTGCTACGGGAGAGGTGCGTGCCGGGCGCTTTGGCACGGGGAGCCTGGTAGCCCTGGGTCTCTCCTCTCTCGAATGATACAGTCCAAGCACCTGGATGATGAGTATGAGAGCAGCGAGGAGGAGAGAGAGCCTCCTGCGGTCCCGCCCACCTGGAGAGCATCACCGCCCTCATTGACCGTGCGGGCTCAGTTGGCCCCTCGGCCCCCGGTGGCCCCGAGGTCCCAGATACCCTCAAGGCACGTACTGTGCCTGCCCCCCCGCAACGTGACCCTTCTGCAAGAGAGGGTAAGAAGCCCACCCTCCCCCATCTCCCTCCTCTCCTCCCTTGCGGGCCGATTCTCTGCCGTCACCCAGGCCTTGACCTCCCCGAGTGTTCCTCCTTCTCCAGGCAAATAAGTTGGTGAAATACCTGATGATTAAGGACTACAAGAAGATCCCCATCAAGCGCTCAGGTAGGCAGCCTGTGCCCCCTTCGCCATCCCCTAGTCTGTGGGCACCCCTTTGCTGGCGGGCTGCGGCGGGTCCCTCTGTCGCCACAGGACAACCGGGTCCTGGCCGTGCCACCCTCTGCAGGGCTGACCAGGGGGCTACAGCTCTGTGATCCCTGCTCAGCCCAGGTGCTTTCTCCAACTCTTCCCCTTCCCGCAGACATGCTGAAGGATGTCATCAGAGAGTATGACGAACATTTCCCTGAGATCATCGAACGAGCAACGTACACCCTGGAAAAGGTGGGTGCAGGATGGGAGCAGCTCTGTGGAGGAAGAGTGGGCGTGGGGTGGCGTGACCCTGCAGACCCTCAAGGCCCAGTCTCTGGAACCGACCCTGACCTCCCCTACTCTGAGCTTCCACGGCACTGGCAGTTTGACCCGTGCCTCCTGCCCTTGGCTTCTCTGTCCCACGCTCTCTGAGTGTCTCACCCGTCATGCGACATGGGTCTCATCGCCTCTGCCAGTGTCAGCTCCCACAGGGAGGGTCCTCCGAGTGCTGTCTTCTTCCGCCCTCGCTCACGACTTTGGATTGCCTGCTGAGGAGCACTTCCACCCGGGAATCGACTCCCTGCCGGCAGGCAGGATGCACCACATGGAGTCTGGATCTCACACTCTACTTTCTCTCCCATGTAGAAGTTTGGGATCCACCTGAAGGAGATCGACAAGGAAGAACACCTGTATATTCTTGTCTGCACACGGGACTCCTCAGCTCGCCTCCTTGGAAAGTAAGAAAGGGAAAGCGGGTGGTAGCCTTCCTCGGTGGTGCCCCTCCCCTGCCCGAACCTCCCCCCACCCAACCGCCCCCCAGCGAAGCAGGAAGACAGAGCTTGAGTCCTTGAGTGCAGCACATAGCTCCCTCCCACACACAGCGAGGGCTGCCTGGTGACTGCTGGGTGAAAGGAAAGGTAGCCTGGGGTGAGGCCTTGCTGCCTCACATCTCCCCAAGCCGCTGTCTGTTGGGCGTTGCCCCCAAAGCTTCCGAGGAAAGTGGCTCGCCTCTTCCTCCTGCCTGTCTGGCCTGGGCCCCGCAGAGCTGGCCTAGGGGAGAGCTTCCTCCTCAGTGTAGGTCCTGATGCGGAAGGGGCAGGAAAGGTCTGGAGACATCTCTGGACACACGTTGACCATTTGCAGAGCTTCGGCTCCCTGCCTCGCCCTGTCCCCTGCAGGACCCTGTCAGAGAAGTGTTAGTACCCGCGTTTTATGGAGGAGGCGATTAAGTCTCGGGCAGAGGTACGAATGGTTTGCCAGCAGCTGGTGAACCCTGCCTGTCCTGGGAAGAGTTCCCCTCCAGCCGGGAAACCTGAGAGGGCCTAGCTGGGAGAGCCTGGCACGGTCTCTCAGGCAAATAGCTGCTAAACAGGATTTCTCTTTCCTCACCTTTAGAACCAAGGACACTCCCAGGCTGAGTCTCCTCTTGGTGATTCTGGGCGTCATCTTCATGAATGGCAACCGTGCCAGTGAGGGTGAGTGGCTGGACCTGCAGCTGGGGGGCCACCCACAGTCTCATCTTTTGGGTGCCAAACTCTCGAACCTCCTCTCCCCTCGCAGCTGTCCTCTGGGAGGCACTACGCAAGATGGGACTGCGCCCTGGGTATGATTGGCCTCCCCAGCTCCTCCCCTGGGTGCTGTCCTCTGGCCAAAGAGGTCCCGGGATTGCAATAGGCTGTCGGTGTGGCCCAGGGGAGTGGGGTGCCCTGGGCTCGGTAGAGAGCAAAGGGTCTCACCGGGCGGGGCGGATGGGAAGCGGTACCGGACGCTGCTCAGCCTCCTCCCTGCTCTGTGGCCCCAGATGACATCTAAGAGAGACAGTCAGAGTCAGGGGCTCCATCGTG